AGACACCAAGCATGAACCAGTATACATGAAGGTAACTGGAAAGGTACTCAGTGGAGGTTAGGTTTCTTTTGCCCTGTCACTGACTCTCTCTGCCAATTTTAACCCAATAAAATAATCGAGGACTTTATTACTTTGTAAAACCAATAAGAAACTAGACATTTATATTTTCATTCTAAGACATATAAACATCTTCCATTCCCTCATGATCTGTACTCCCATAAAGTTTAAATTACACATTAAACTTTTGTTATTTAAAAAGATTCATCTGGCTAAGTAATGCTTGATTTCTTTTTATTTCCCCATTTGAATTTTTTGGAAATGTTATCCTCTATTATTAGGATGCTAGAAAATATACACTATCAGTTATGGTAGAAATATTATTAGCAACAAAATAGTTATTCAGTGGTAAACTAGGGTTCATTAGAATGAGACTGAACTTACAACTCCGTGTGTTTTCTTTCAAAGACTCCTAGTGGATTGTCATGGACACCATGCCTAACAGGGCAGCACTTCTAATTATTCACCCATGTGATTACTCTGTCTCGGCAGAGAGGTGACTTCACTCCCAGCCTGTTGGTGGGTCTGTTTATTTAGTTATAGTTTGTACAATGTGAGAAGTGGTATGTCACTGTCATTTCCAAATTGACACAGAGAAAGCCTCCTGTTCCTAGATTTTTTTTTTATATGGAGGGGCCTATATTTGATGGCAACATAACCAGCTGTAAACACCATAGATTTTTTTTTTAACTCTAAGGGAGGCTTTGAGGCTTTGAGTCATTGAGGCTTTGCATTAGAATTAAATAGATTTACATTGAATTAACTATTGAGTATTTGGGGTTATATGGCATCACAACAAGACATACTCTATCTGGGCTAAAGCCTTAGATGGAGAAGTACATGGTATTTGTGAAGGACATTAATTCACTCAGGAAATTTCTATTATTTATGTTGGGCCAGGCATTGTACTGATATGTGGTGGATAAAAGAAACACTGAATGCAACATAGACCCTGGCCCTTAGGAGCTGATGGTCTAACAGCAGCATCACCTTAAGTTTTATTGGCTTACTTTTGATCTTTCACAGTTCATCACAGTTCATTTCACTGAATCTTCACAACAACACTAATCCTGTTTACATTTCACAATGAGTAAGCCAGGACCCAAATCCACCGAGCAAGTAAATGAAACGGAATTGACATAAGACTTCTGATTTCTGTCTGTTTAAATGTGCTCAACTCAGGTCTAGACTTGTGCATGAGTGAGCTGTCCTGACTGAAGGTGAGTCATGAGACCATAAGAAAAGGCATATTGGAGGGAGAAGCAGTGTATTGGGCAAAGCCAATGTGCACAGCCTCAGAGAGTCTGCCATTTGGGGACTGTAGCTTTGAAGTTGAGCCCAGTAGTATGAGCAGGGTTTATTTATTACATTTAAGCTTTTTTTCTTTCTTTTCTTTTTGATTTTCATTAACAAGGGTATGGAAGAACAAAGAAAACATCTAAGAACTAAAGACTTCATGTTTTTTCCTTCATATATAGAACGCCTAGATGGGAAATTTGCCAAATATTTTTATATAAATCTATATAATATTTTATTATAGTTTACTTTTATTTTATTATTCTATACCTTCAACTCATTGATAAAAAATTTCCCAATGATTATATAACTCACTTCTTTTTCTACCAATATTTCATCCCTATGAAGACATAACACTTCTCTATTTGCTAAATCATTTTTGAGACTCTATGTTTTCTTGATTTTAATATGTAAGTTAAAATAAAGCTGTTTATATTAATTAAATATTTTCTAAGATATAAAGCCTTTAATATTATAAACTTACAGCATGGAAAATGTGCTCACAATTTTTATCACATATATTGTCAACACATGTATTCTGAATGCCTCTCAAGGTTTAGTAAACGTTTATCAAATCAGTGCATGATAAATTAATGCATAAAACAAGAGTCCATTTTTTTTCGAGTTTTTGTTAAATTACACTACTCGAACAAACCCTGAGATGCATTTGGGGAGTAACTGGAGGGTTAACACAGTAGACTCAATTGGAAAGGAAACAAACTTGAAAAAAAAAGAGAGGAAAGAATGAGTTGAAGCAATTGGGGGAAATAAATTGAGAAGGTTAACCTAAATTTGAGTCTAAGCCTACATCTAAAAAGTCTAACCTACATGTTTAAAATGCACTCTATTATAGTCAGGTTTTTTTGGTGTATACTTTTTCTTTCATTTTTCTGCTCTGTAAAAATGAATATAAATTTCTTACATGTAAAATTTTATTTTCCACTATCCAAAGAGAAGATTATTATGCAACTGTTGTAAAAATGACTATATGTACAACCTTTTAGGAGATGAAAATAGAAAACTAGATTGGTCCAAACTGACTAATAGTTCCTGCTGTTCAATTTCAGACAATTTTGCAAGCAGTAATCAAACTAGAGGATGAACATAGCCAATTATCTTTTTTTCTACATGGAAAAATATTTTTCATTTTTCTATGAACAAAAGCAATGAAGGGAAATTATCCAAAAACCAGTAAGTGAGGCAGTAGCTTATTCTGTAAACTTCATTAGGAGAAAAAATTCTTTCCAGGAATGAAACATTAACATTTGCTACAGCTGGACTCATATGTGAGAGTGTTGTTATATCATAGAGTTTTTAAATTTTGAAGTTAGACTTCTAGGCCAGGCACGGTGGCTAATGTCTGTAATCCCCCTACTTTGAAAGGCCTATGTGGACAGAGCACTTCAGGTCAGGAGTTCGAGACCAGCCTGGCCAACATGGTGAAACACTGTCTCTACTGAAAATACAAAAAAAAAAAAAAAAAAAATAGCTGAGTGTGGTGGCAGGCACCTGTAATCCAAGCTCCTCAGGAGGCTGAGGCATGAGAATTATTTGAACCCAGGAGGCAGAGGCTGCAGTGAGCCAAGATACTGCCAACCATACTCCAGCTTAGATGATAGAGCAAGACTCCATCCTTTAAAAAGACATATATATATATATATATATATATATATGAAATAAGTTAGAATTCTATTATGGAATTATAGGAGTTTATTGTATCATGGAATTTTCATTTGCTATATCATGTGTTTTAGCATTTTGTTACAATATAGAAGTATAAGTTTACTATGTCATAGAGTTAGAGAATGTGTAGGACCACAGTTATAAAATTCTGATGTTGAGGAAATTATCGTAAATCATGTAGTTCACACCTTTCATTTTAGAACTAATGATACTGGGGCCCCAGTAGTTTAACTGGCTTCCCTAGGGTCACTCAATTAATTGAAAATATGTCAGCATTTATCAGTTCTATTTTTTCTTCTCCAAGCTCAGAATTACACTGATTGTATTTGAATTATCCGTGTAAGACCAAAACACTCTCACATTTGAAAACTGCTAGGAACTTAATTCTTTTCTTCCAGATCTATATTCCTTTCGATCTCAGAAAAAAATAAATCTCAGTGGTTTTTGCCTTTTTCTTATCAATATAGTTGTTTTCATGTTTCATAATATTCAAAAATCAGCATATGGCATCTTTACTGAATCCACTTTGGCGATTTAAACAATTTTAATCACCACTCTATTTATACCTAGAAGGTGTATAAAATTAAAGTATGAAACAAAACCATAAGGATAAAAGGCAGTAAATGCAATTTAAAGGAACGGCAAATTTGATATTATTAGAAACTTGAAATGAATTATCAATTTCGAATTAAAACTAAATTCTGAGTTACCTGGCAGCTAAAGATAAAGAAGAAACTTGAATAGCTAAATTTTGTTTTAAAATAAAATATATATGTAAATAATATTTGATATAAAATACACTCGAATACATATACATCCTCATCTCAAGAGAAAAACTTTTTATAGCATTTAATTTACCAAAATTCTCTTATGAATCCTCTATAAAACAATAAATGTATCTTCAAAAATGGTACAGCCAAAACAAAAGGCGCGATTTTCAAGTAATGCCTTCCTTCATGAAAAAGAGAGTATAATCGTAGATCATAGCTGATTGAAAGTCTTCCTCCTCTTTCCACACAAGTACACTAAGTCCTCATGGTTTACCTGACCACAGCAATGTAAATCACAGGACATGAATGCCAAGTATTTTACATATTCAATTATTGGAACCAATTTTTTGGTGTTAGATCGCAATGAAATCAAAACTGATTTCTCTAATGAGCTATTTCATTGATTGCTGAGAGCCTCTGGACTTCATAAGCAGCTTTTCAAAATCCTGAAAAGCTGTAGCCTAACTGGAAGCATTGTTTTGGTAAGGATAAGGATCACGGGAGTAGCTCTCAGTCCAGATGAGCTGTGAGTCTTCTCAAGCCCATGGAACAGTATATAACCAAAACCCCAGAGTTCTGAGGGATAAAAAATTATTTTGTCCCAAAATGATTAAAGGTATTTGTTGTGAGTCAATAGCTTGGCCATAAAAGGACATCGATGAAGCCACTAAAAATTATCTTAACTATATTCTGAAATATATCTTAATAAGTTATCTGAAAAATGAACTTTAGGAAATATTCAGGACCTATCATTAGACAATAGTTGATGAAAACTGTCAATTGAGATGTTGAAAAATCTTAATGACATGCAAAGACTGGTTTACTGTAGTTTTTTTCTAAACCATGCTAACAATAATTGACCAAAAAATTTGTAAATGTGTTTGGGCTTAGGAAAAGTAAAGTCAATATATTTTTTAAAAAATCAGTCTAATCAGTCTAATTTGTTACTGCAATCAGATTGCTACTATGAATTGTTCCATAATTTATATTAATAACTTTCATTTGTATATTACTTTGGAGTACTTTTACATGACTTATCTTAAAAAAACCAACAATTGGCTGGGCACAGTGGCTCATGCCTGTAATCCCAGCACTTTGGGAGGCCACGGAGGGCGGATAATGAGCTCAAGAGATGGAGACCACCCTGGCCAACAAGGTGAAACCCTGTCTTTACTAAAATAATATAAAAATTACCTGGGTGTGGTGACGCGTGCCTGTAGTCCCAGCTACTCAGGAGGCTGAGGCAGGAGAATCGCTTGAACCTGGGAGGCGGAGGTTGCATGAGCCGAGATCACGCCATTGCACTCCAGCCTGGTGACAGAGAGAGACTCCATTTCAAAAAACAAAGAAAAGAAAAAAGAAAAAAAAATACCAATAATTGCCTCATGAACAAGACATTTACATTCGAAGAGTGTTAAGGGTCAAAGTGATTAAAAATTATGTAACATTTGTTAGAGATTCTGATTGGCTCAAAGTAAAACCATAAACACTTTGACTTAAACAAGCATTTTTTCCTGTCCTTGTGTTTCTTTTTCTCTCATTCAAGACTGCTATAGTGTTTTACCAGTCAGGGATTCAAGCTCCTTCTATTTACTGCTCTGCAGCATAAGCCTTCATTCCCAAGGTCATCACTTGGCCAAGGAGGGCTGTGAAGCTCTGGCAATTATGATCATATTTTGTTAGAAAGAAAAAGAAAGAAAGGGAAGAGTAGTTTCTAGAAATCATACTTTCCTGCTGACAAGGTCATTTAGTGACATAGCCACACCTGGCTGTAAAGGTGTCTGGGTAATTTTTTTGTTCTCAGCAGCCACGTGTATGGCTGGAAATGAGGGATTATATTACTATGAAAACAGGAGTGAATCTATATAATGGATTGCCTTCCATTTCCTCCTACACCTAGCATCTCATGTCTAGTAAGTAAGAAAACAAGGACCTGAGCTGAGTCTTTCTTGTTGTCTCTATGGTCTAACTACAGTACTGCCATGTAAGTTAAAAGAAAATAGGCTGATACATAACTTGGCTTTCACCATTTAGAGCTGTAATAGCATCTGTCCTGAGACTGCTCCTGCTTGCTGTCATTTTGTCAGATAGATAGAATCTTTGAAGAAACACTACTGATAGTTCTGCTACCATGAAAGATTTAACCATACAAAGATTTTGTCTTTGCAGTTAAGTTCAAAAATATTTTCTTGACTGCTATGAAGTCTTACTATATTTCTGTTTTCTTGTTAAGAAAGAACTGGGGTGGGGCTCGGTGGCTCACACCTGTAATCCCAGTACTTTGGGAGGCCAAGGCAGGTGTATCACCTGAAGTCAGGAGTTCAAGACCAGCCTGGCCAACATGATGAAACCCTGTCTCTGCTAAAAATCCAAACAACAAGTTTAAAAATATTAGCTTGGCATGGTGGCAGGTGCCTGTAATCCCAGCTACTTAGGAGGCTGAGGCAGGAGAATTACTTGAACCTGGGAAGCAGAGGTTGCAGTGAGCGGACATCACTCCATTGCACTCCAGCCTGGGCAACAAGAACAAAACTCAGTCTCAAAAAAAAAAAAAAGGGAAGGAAATAACTGAATATGTTAATAATTAGTTGTGAAATATATGTATCTTCTTGTACTCCTTGCAAGATTTAGATCAAGAGACTAATTTCTTTTCAAAAATAAACACCATTTGAAGGGACTATGCAGGATGAATATGTCTATCTCTTCAAATCAACAGAAAAGTTTATATCTTGCACTTGACATGGCCATACTTTGAGACCGACCCTAGAAAATATAAATAACTTAGCCAAGATTGGGGCTTATTAGAACTCCCAATTTTCTCTAGGAGAGAGTTGATTTCCTGAGCATTTTCATATTAAGATAAATCAAATATTAATAGTAATATTGGTGCAAAAGTATGCTCAATGATTGACTGAAAGTAAAAGCATGTTAGACAGAATTTCAGCATCTTTCTATAGAAATGGCCTACATTGGGATTATGATTTTAGACCTGGATCTCCCAAATGTCAAGAATATGTGGGAAAATAAAACAAAAAAAATGAAGAAAATTAAAAGCTTGATGAAAGGAAAGGAGAAAAAATGTTTTATTATATTGCTGTTAGCAAGGCATAGAGGTTTAAAATGGCTAAAAACTCTTTATGTCTATATCTAGAGACATAAGGTAGAAATAAATAAATTAGTTATCTCAGTTCAGATAGCTGTAAGAGCAGTTAATCTGAAGGTGAGAAGCAGATCCATTAGGTTAGATGTTTTAATTACAGCAGTGATCCTTATATTTTAAGATGCATCAGATTCACCTAGCGGGCTTGTTAAAACACAGATGACTGGTCCCCACCCTCAGAGTTTCTGATTCAGCCAATTTAGAATGAGGCTTGAAATGTGCATTTCCTTCAAGCTTCTAGGTGATGTTGATGGTACTGGTCTGGGATTGCACTTTACGACCATTATAATACAACAGAGTTACTTAAGGGAAGATTTCCCTCCTTTGGAATTGTGTTGTCATTGTTCACCATCTGGAACAGAAAGATGATGCTTATAGAATTCCCACATCTCTGGCATGACACCAAATTGCACTCATGACAAGACCAACAGAGCAGAGTTTATTCCGATGTTTAATCTGTGACTCTACATAAGACCAAACACCCAGAAACTGCCAAGTTTCAAGCAAATTAAACATCTGGATTTTCGGTTGATTTTTACATTTTAACCAAATCTAATACTTTTGGTTCAATGAAACTCAGTCTCTCCTTTATGTAGCAATTTCCAGATTAAGAAGACACCTCCCACGATGGACCCATCTACAGCTATTTTTTTCCAGAATGCAATAGCTATGCTACATTGACCCCTGATGCATATCTCTTAGTTGCATTTTTCTCAGTTGCATTTCTGATGCATCTACTAGTTACCATTTCATTTGTCATTCAGCGAATCTCTATGTCTGTCGATTTTCTCAGCAAGAAGTCCATGAAGCCACTTAATAAGTTGTTTTGCCTGCAATGACTCCATCATGGTTACAACTCTTAAGAAAAGGTATACCATGAATATGTACAATAACATTATGTAGCAACACACTATTTGGATAGAGCCATAGAACTACCAGTATATCTAATTTACCAAGATTTATCTAAACAGTTATATTTGAAGAAACATTTTCACTTATTAAGTCATATACAGAGCACATAATAGAAATAAGATAGAAAAAATGTTTTAAATGAATCATGTGTGTATACTCACATTAATTTTTTATTCTTCTATCTTAGTCTCTACATAACCTCTTACTTGAAAATAGAAGAAAATACACAAATTCTAGTCTTAGTCAATGGGACATGTTGTTCAAGTAATGTTAAAAGCAACAGATTTTCAGTATAAAAACTGATTTGTTTGAGCCACTGTATTTTTTGTTTTGCTTTTTTATAAATTTAAGGTTTGATTTCTTGAAATTCAAAATCAAATGAAATACACACACAGATGGTATCTACAGTCATTTTTTACATTATTGTGTGACGCTAATGTACACTAGTACATTTTGCACGAGACTTTTTTTTATCAAATAAACAACTTTTAAAGACTCCAATTTTTTCTCGTTTAGAAGGCTGATGTTGTGGTGCTTCAAAGACAAGTCATTTCTTAGGTACTGCCAGAAATGGATGGAAACGATTAGCTCTGAAAGCATCTTTGAGGTAAAAGCTTCCTGTTGTGTTACGCATATTGATAATGAAAAAGAAAACTTCAACAACATTGGGCTAAAATTTGACTCTACAATCTAGTTTAGTCCATGTAAAAGAACACCTATTCAGGCCCGGCGCAGTGGCTCATGCCTGTAATCCCAGCACTTTGGGAGGCCGAGGTGGGCGGATCACGAGGTCAAGAGATAGAGACCGTCCTGGCCAACATAGTAAAACCCCATCTCTACTAAAAATACAAAAAAATTAGCTGGGCATGGTGGCATGCACCTGTGGGCCCAGCTACTCGGGAGGCTGAGGTTGGAGAATTGCTTAAACCCAGGAGGGGGAGGTTGCAGTGAGCCGAGATTGCGCCACTGCACTCCAGCCCCTGGCGATAGAGCAAGACTCTGTCTCAAAAAAAAAAGGACACCCATTCAGTGAGAAGAAAATAGGCAGACTTTTCTGTGTGTGATATCAAAATGTACAATAATGTGACAAAATACCCACTAAATTATGAGAACCTGTTTGACAGTATGATGCATCACTGGAGGTGGCTAAAGTATGCTGTGGTCCTGTAAAAATGTTAAATATTTACAAAGCCGTGAGATCTAAGTACAGTAGTGCTCGAGTTAACTATTAACAATAATTCATCAAATCTCAGTGTACTGAAACCCACATCTGTGATTAATAGGAAGTCCTCTCATTTTCACGAATCCTCGGGATAAGTGGTTGTTACATGTAAAACCCACATAGTAAGTACAAATCTCAGCCCACATCTCAGACAGGGCTTGTGAAGCAAACTGGCCAGTGTGGTTGACATAGAACAAGTGACAGGGGTGTCATCACAGATGGGACCAAGAGGTAAGGCAGGGAACTAGGGCAGCTCATGTTCGTTGGATATGAGTTAATCGATATTTATCTGAACTCTACGTTCTGAAATGATTCACATTCTTATGAGGTCCTTAGGTCCCAGGCAAATCAGAGAATATGGCACATTATTTGTTTTAAGGGTTCCTTTAATGTTATGTGGTCATTAGAAGCTGCTTTGGGGATAATGATTAGAAAGCTGGTCTACCAACTTGCTAAGAGGCCAACATACAAAATCTCTCTGAGTCCCCCTAACTTTACAGGATTGCATATGAGAATCCCCACTCTACTTCTCTGTGGAACAATTCACCCTCTATGGCAGGTAGAAACTGTAAATATCAGTCAATGTTCAGGCAAAAAGAAAGGATTCACTTAGATACTTCAAGGGATTAATTCTGGGAACTGGAAACAAAGGTGATGTGGTAACTTGAAGACGAATAAAGAAGGGATGGAATGGGAATCAGAAAGTTACGTGTGGGAAGGACTCAAAGTACTAAAGTGAGAAGGTGTTCCTCAGAGGTCGGGACATTGCCTCTGAGGACAGCTCTAAGCTGATGCTCAGGAGCCCACGTGCCCTGTTGAGCTGCTGGAGATTCTGTCTCTGATGCACAGCAGGAGCCACTGGCTGCCGTTGCTTCTTCTGCTGCTGAAGTTACTGAAAGTGTAATTGCTGAGGCTGCTGGAGACATCAATTGCTGCACCCGAGCAGAAGCCATCACTATACACACTGAAGTTGCTGGAGTTTTCTGTAGCCTGTGGTCACTTTTATTTGCCTTCTAC